TGGATTGGTTATCTCTGGATCAGGAAATTATAATTAATTTTAAATTTTTTCCTTTTGGACTGAGGATTCAATTCCTGGTACAAAATTAATTAAATAAGTTATTCCTTTACTTCTTATTTTCTAATACTTTCTACAAACCAATATTATCTGAATTTAAAAATGCCCACCCAAGTCCTTATTTAGTGCATGATGGTGGTGCCTTGGTCATTGTTTTAGACCCTGGCAACATAGTGATGAACAAGAAACATGGTCTTTCTTTCCTAATACAGGGGAAAAAAGGTACAATGAACTTAGGAAAGGAAGCCCTGCATTTTATAGACGGGAAACTGAGGTCTGCAGACATTAAAGTAGCTTGCTAAAAGTCATGGCACAGCTCATACAAAGCTCACTGCCTTTCCGTTACATCATACTGGCTTTCTTGACTCTCGAGAGCACCTCTGTATTCTTGAACATTCTTGAACATTCTAGATCAGAAGTCTCAGTTTTTCTGGTATTCTCATGAAGGAATTCTGTGTAAGGCAGTACTGTATAGAGTAAGGGAGTTCTGCCTGTAGAACTCCCTTTGGAGTGGAACTCCCTTTGGCAAATCCTGTAAGCTTTTTGGGCTTTGTTTTCATCATCTGAGAAGTAAAGAGATCAGCCTTGGAGATTTTGAAGGGTAGGACCTGCTTGTTACTTCCACGGTCATCTTATTTAATTTGGAGTTATGTATGTGTGTGTGTGTGTGTTTCCTTTACAGCTATACACACTGCTGCTATGGACATGCTGGGAGGATCAGGTATTGAAAGCCAGTGTAGAAAAGTTGAGATAATTGCAGATGCTGCATATTCCATTTTTAAAAAGCCAAAAAGCTTTACTGGCAACTTTGTCATTGATGAAACTATCTTAAAAGAAGAAGGAATAAAAAATTTTGATGTCTACGCAGTTAAACCAGGTAATGCTTACAGTGTTTGAAAGTGGTGATGGGTTTTCTTACTTTTTCTGCATTGAACATATCTGTGTGTTTATATGATTATAAAATATGTTCTTTAAAGGCCATATTTCCATTAAAGGGAAGAACCCCACACCAACACTGGTTTTTGTTTTGTGTTTTGTTTTTTGTTTTTTTGAGACAGCGTCTTGCTACAGAGCTTAGACTGGCTTTTTCTTTTTTTTGAGACAGGGTCTCACTGTGCAGTTGATCCTGGCCTTGAACTTACTATGTAGCCCAGACTGGCCTCGAATTTACGGCAATCCTTCAGGCTCAGCCTCCCTAGTGCTGGGAAGATTACAAGCGTGCGCCACCATGCCTGGTTCCAAACCAACACTATTTAAGAGAGAAAGCACAAATAAAAGTTGAGTTGAGCATTTTTGAAGTGGTACACAGATGCAGATCATCAGCTGTTAGCCATTTCCAAGTTTTGAAACCAAAAATGAAAATTAGTTTTTAAAATTGGTCTTTTAAAAATAAAAGTAATGATTGTATTTAAAGATAGATGACAGATGATACAATAGTGGGTTGTTTACAAAAAACTTTTAGGATTATAGCCTCATTCCAGTTGTTTACTTTTAAGTGTAATCTCTTAAGAGTAGTTTAATGACATAATTAAAATGCATGAGCAAGACCTATCTTCTGTATAGTGATATGATTTGAGAAGTTTCTAGAAGGTGCCCCTGTTCAAAATAACTTCCTCTGAAATTACACATGATGATGATAGTAGATTTTTACCTCCTATGGAAAGTATCATGTATTCTTAGGTGGGTACAAGCTAAGTAGCTTGTAACCCTAGCCATGGTACTCAGAAGGCCAAGTAGGAAGATAGACTGAGCCTAGGAAATCAGGGGCCCTGCCTGGACTATGTAGAGAGACCTTGTCCCTAAAAATAAAAATTAAGAATAAATAAATGAATTAATAAGTAAAATATAGTACGTCCTAAATGACAGATATCAGCCATAAATGGCAATTATATTGTTGTACTAAAGTATATTTTAAAATAGTATTCATTAAACTGACCTTGTCAACAATACAAACTATATTTGTATCATCCCTTCCTGTCTCTAGCTCCAACTGAAATAACTGATTATAGTTTTATAAAGCACCTTTATATATATTACGTATTTAATCTTTATAGCAGTCATATGAGGGAAGTAATACTGTTTAGTGATTAAGAGCATAGAATGTGGCAGAAAACAAATCAGGTTCAATTTTAGCTCTGTTGCTCACTACCTTTGTGGCTTTGGGCCCCAATTTCCTTATTGTAAAATTAGGAGAATGTTAATTTCCACGCAGGATTCCTGTTAGAACAGTGTGTGATAACATACATAATGTGTTTAGACAGTACCAAAGCACATAGTACACAAGCTATATTTATCAGCTAACATTGTAAATGGAAAAATAGGTCCAGAGGGATTAAGCCTTTGTCTCAGAGCAGATGGCTCATAAACGGCAGAACCTGAACCAGACTCAGTTCTTCTGGGCCTTGGTATGGTATAATGATTACTTTAGGTTTTGAGGTCACAGTAATATTATACAGAAAATTTTAAGTCTGGTGTACTTAACAATTGTATTTAGTATTGAAAACTTAGAATGATCAAGTACTTAGTATGATACAAGGGTATAACAAATATCGATTTATTGCCACCCTCCAGAAGTTTGTTTAATCTTTAGAGGGATTATTAATATCTGATTTTACTACAATTTTGGAGCCTTTGTGGCCTTTAGATCTCCCAGCATACATATGTCTTAAAGGTATCAGTGTCATGTTAAGCTAATTAAATAGCTGGTTGTGGCAGTGCATGCCTGTAATCCTAGCACTTGGGAGCCTAAAGTAGAAAGATTGTAAGTTTGAGGTCAGCCTGGGCAATTTAGCAAGACTTTGTCTCAAAAAAATAAATAAAAAATGCTGGGAATGTAGCTCAGTGGCAGAAGGCTTGCTTGTCATGTGAAAGGTAATTAATTTTTTAACCACAGCTGTTAGCTGAAATTAAAATCCAGTGGAAGATGGTAACTTGGTTTTCATAATGATAGAGGAAGAGAGAAAAGACTTAAATACACTGATGTGTAGAAACAAGTCCTTCTTAATGAGGACTTCTGCTCTTAGAGCTTAGGTAAGAAGTGAGCTTCTGAGTGCTTGGAGGGGTGAAAGGTGGAAAGGCTGTGAGAATAAGGAGGGCAAAGGCTGGAATGGCGGGTGAAGCCTTTACACAAAAGGTGATTCCTCCCCGCCGCCCCCATACTGGGAATTGAACCCAGGACCTTCACACTGGGCTGCATTCCTACTTCTTTTTCTATTTTTTATTTTGAGACAGTGTCTCTTAAGTCACTGAGTTTCCCAGGCTGGGCTCCAGCTTGCAGTCCTCTTTCCACAGACTGCCAGAGTGCTGGGATTTTAGGTGTTTGCCCCCAGGCCAGTGTATGACACATGATTTTTAAAAATTAGATTTTGAAGATAAAGTTTGCCATAGGAGAAGAAGATAACTGAGTTACAAGAAAATAAATTTAATAAAGATCAAGTGACTTGACAGTTCTTATGGGGTCCTTTTTCTTTGCTCCAACATGACCCTAAAAGCACACATAAGGTTTATTGAACAGCTGTTAAGATCTTAATGTAGTATTGTTTGTATATTAACCTGATTATTTCGGGGTCACTTTTTCAGGCCAACCTTTGTTACCAGATTTCTTCTTAGATGAATATCCAGATGCAGTTATGAAGAAAAGGGAATCACAGGGTAAGATCTAAACCTTATTTTATGTAGGAAAATACAGATTGTAACTTATGTGTTTCTTCCAAAACAGAATTGATCATATGACAGTCACATTTCTGCTTCTGCTTCTAAACCCTTTGTAATTTAACTAAACAAGTTACGTGAGTTCTCAATTACTTCTAGCCCTCCGTCCCCTCAAAAAAAACAAAACAAAACAAAACAAAAAGAACATGATTTGTCTACTAGTAAGAAGTTCTTAATGTATTCATGGCTTGTGTTCTTGTTTTGTAGCCTGGGCTGGCCTTGAATTTTGAGCCCTTCTGCCTCAGCCTTCCAAGTGCTGAGATTACTGGTGTACACCAAAATACTCAACTCATGTTTGGTTTTTAAAAATAGTTGTCTATTCAAGTTTTATTTTTCTTAACACACTGTCTTTAGGTATTTCATGTTGATACGTTATTTTAATTTGAGGAAAAGTACATCACATCAGAGTATACCTAACATTTTCCACTGTGCCTTGTGACTCCTTTATAGAAATTAACTTCAGGAAGGTTTTCACTTTCTTTTGTTTCTGTAACTCAAGAACAACAGCAGGTTGAATTGGTCTGGAGTGTACATTTCAGTCCTTTTGTTCTGGCATCATGCCAGTGGCTTCCTGAAAGGTGTTTAAAGAAGTGAATACCTGTGCGAAGAATTGCTCTCATGGCTCACTAACAAGAACGGCTCTCTTTCTCCTGGGCCCTTACTTTGTTTTTTATCTTAAAGATTCTGTGAACCTCACATGATCATAGATTTTTTTGTGAAAACTGGTAGAGAATTTAAGAACAAATTCCCCTAACCCTTCAGCAAATGTATAGGCCCTTAACTACAAGGCACTTTAGGGCCGTAGCTTATTTCCTGTTTAGTCGTATCTTTTCTGTGTCTGTCTTTTCTTGTTCAAATTTTTGTGGTAATTAAAAAAAAACTTACATTAATAAAAGAGCAACTTTTTTGTATAATAGAATCTTACAAATTTTTGAAAACTATAGAAAGAAAATAGTAACTCTCAATCCCACCACCCAGAGAAACTTCTTTTAAAAATCAGATCCTTGGCTCTGTTCCCGTCTAGATAGATCAGAGTGTTAAAACCAGAAAAAAAGAACAAGCTTGTCAGCCTTTTTTTCAAAAGGCCTCTTATAGAATGACAGAAATAAATTACCTAGAGATCTTATAAAGTCTTTAAGGGTATGATCTTCAAGGTAGATAAGCCCCAAATGATGATTTTTGCTTAATAGCCTAAGATAAAGTCTGTCTTTTGGAGAAAGACATCCATGAAACGATCTCATTTCAATTCTAAGATTTAAATAAGAACCACTTATTGATTATGTGTCTTCATTCTGTTTATTTAACAAATACTTACTGGGTACTACTCTGTGTCAAATACTGTGCCGATTACTTCGTGTATGCTGTGTTTCTAATACCTGAGATCCCACAAGACAGGTGTCATTTTCCTTCTTACCAGTTGTTGTCACATAGCCGGTAGGTGGCAGAGCCAGGTTTCAACTTGTTTCCCTGATTCCAAAGCCTGTGTCTTACCTGGTATTCTTAAAGAGATTCTCTAGCACCTCAATACTTAAAAGCCCTTTGAACTAGCATATTATTTTGTCTAGTAACCCCACTTATTAATTCATAATGAGGAGTTGCCATCGCATGGATGGAGCATGCAGTCACTATGATCAGCACATTCCTTCCCTTTGGGCATAATTACACAGAGAACACAATCATAATCAGGAGGTTGTTTTGCGACCAAGGAATCAGAGCAAGAGGACTTGCAGAGTAGAACGTGAGGTAAGTATCTGCTGGTGCCCGGCTTTGATAGAAATGATTTTGCCCGTAGACATCGCCATACAAAGAGTGCTCTGACCTCTAACCTTTGAGATCAGAACCCTCAGATTCCTTTCCCTGTCTTCCCCACAAAAAGCTGGAGAGAGCATTTACTTCCTCTTCTTTTTTTTCAAGTATAAAAATATGGAATGCTTCGTGCATACGTGTCTTCCTTGTGCAGGGACCATGCTAACCTTCTCCGTATCATTCCAATTTTAGTGTCTGTGCTGCTGAAGGGAGCACAGCATATGGCTCTTTTTGTTTTGTTCTGTTCTTTCTGGTTCCAGCAATATCAGTCGTAATCTTCTGGTGGTGTTTATATAGTGATTATGCACATAGGTGCTAGGCCGGTACATCTGCCCTAGGATCTAACTCAGGTCTTTTTAACCATATATCTTCCAGGTGACTTTTCATGTCCGTGCACAGAGCCACTGAATGTTCACTTTATAGTCTGCCTCTCAGAGGTTATTGTGTAGCCCTCATTTCTAAAATGGGAGGGTTCGGGGCTGGGGATTTAGCTCAGCGGCAAAAGCGCCTGCCTGGCAAACGCAAGGTCGTGAGTTCGGTTCCTGGTACCGGAGAAAAACCAAAAAAAAATAAAAAATAAAAAAAAAAATAAAATGGGAGGGTTCACCTTTCTGTTACCCTCATTACTTATGGTAATCCCTGTTAACTTTAGATTGTACCTTTTCTGGAATTTGTTCTATGTATGTTAATTTATATCGTATATGTATAATTATTATAAACTGTGCATATGGTTTTAGCTTAATGATTTTTTTCTATATTTATTTATTTCAGGGCTTTGTTTCTTTTTTTTTTGTTTTTTTGGTCTTTTTGAGACAGGGTCTTGCTATGCAGTTCAGGCTGGCCTTCAGTTCCCTTTGTAGCCCAGGCTGGTCTCAAACTCAACGATCTTCCTGCCTCAGCCTCCCAAGTGCTGGGATTATAGGCATGTGCCACCATGCCCAGCAGTTTTTATTTTTTATTACTACATATTTGCAGGAAATCATGACTACATTCTTTGGGGGGCATTCATATATGTACATAACACATCTTAATTCTTTTTCATCCCCTTCCCTTGCCCTGCCTGTGTCCTCCTTCCATTTCTTGATCCCCTTCCCTTTTGCAAAAAAATCTGTCTCCCTGTTTCCTATTACCTATTTTTTATTTTGCTCTCTGTATTTTTGGTTTCTCATATAAGAGAAACCATGTGATATTTAAGCTTGTGTGTCTGACTTATTTCACCTTATGGCCCCAACGTACAGGTGACTCACAATTGATCCTTTTCTATATCAGAAGAGAACTCCGCTGCATAGAAACACATTTGCCTTATCCATTCATCTGTTGATAGTAGAGAATCTCTTAAAGAGAATCTCTTTAAGAATACCAGGTAAGTAGACATATAGACATCCCCAGCCCCCAAGATTGTTGGGGGCTGGGGATTTAGCTCAGCGGCACAGTGCCTGCCTGGCAAGCACAAGGTCGTGAGTTCGATTCCCGGTACCGGAAAAAAAAAAAAAAAGAATTGTGCTGCTGCCAGGGACATAGCTCAGCAGCACAAGTACTTGCCTGGCAAGCACAAGGTCCTGAGTTCAATTCCTGGTACCAAAAAAAAAAAAAAAAGAATTGTGCTGCTGTAAGCATGGGTTTGCATCACTGTACCATGATGTCTGTAATTCTTTCAGGAAGATACTTAGAAGGGGAGTAACACAAGATTGTCATTTACTTCATTAGTTCCCCATCTCCACTCCCCACTGAAACACAAAGCCAAGCCTCCCCTCCCCTCCCCTCCCCTCCCCT